AGCAAAAATCTTCACAGAATCAAATCTGTGGCCACTTTTATAATTTATCTTAATTGCGAGTGAAAATTGTTAAACAAAATTTCTTACGTTGATAAATCGTTTTGGTAATTCGACAACGGGCGCATTTTTCAACGTGACTAAAAACCGATGTAAACACATTCGTTTCCTTCAGTAAATGACCTCTTGTTGTTTTATCGACTTTATGTTTACTGGAAATAATAATGGGATGCCGTGAGTTCCGGGATACAATACTCTCTATGGCATGTCATTTTTTTCTTAGAGAACTAACCACGAGTGAGTACTATGATTAATCAGTCACGATAAAATGACGTAACCTGTTGCTTTTCAGAAGCCTTCATGGTGTACCACAAATTGCGTGTTTAATACGTAACTTTTAAGTAATTGCAACGATTACGATCTGTCTACTTCATTTAACCAAATTTAGCCTTTTACTATCTTGCGGTCCGGATAGGGCGACCGCAAAAATCTGTGAACACTTTAGGCTTTCTTCATGTGCGCATCAGAAAGTCTCATTTCCTTCTTCTTTTAACTGGAATCGCCGAGAATTTTATCGGTGGTATTTCGCAGGCGCCACGGTCAACTGGTATGGTGCAACAATCGTGGTTTCTCTAGGGACAGGGTTGGATTCAAAATCAAAACGATAATGAAACGATAGTTTTATTGTATTGGAAGCCAGTGAAAGTATAGATCAGGATTCATTGATGGTGGACATCTATCTCAAGAAAGCGAAGCGTCATCAGTAAGAACAAACAGCAGCTGTTGGAAACACTGGAATTCTTGTTGCCGTCTATATGGCCGAACAAATATCACCCACGAAAAACTGCAACGAACGTAAGATGTGCCAAACAAGATGGTTTCTGCACGCCTACATGCCATAAGGAACCAGCTTGTGAAAACCCGGTTTCTAGGTAAGTACATGTACATGGAATAATGATCGGTAAATTAAATCTAAATCTAATCGGCCAAATTTGACCACCCACCCTGTATTGCTGTATTATTTCCACCCCTCACTACCCAACAGGTGATTCTAAATTTCGTTTTGGAAAATCCAACTGAAATTTTGTGCGGACCACAAAAATAGTCAGAATTTCATGAAATTTGATGGATACACCCTTTATGGAATGCGGTTGAAATTTTCATTTGCTATAATTAGCTAAAGCAGCGAACAATGGCAAAGCGTATGGTGTGACAATTGCATAAGCACGTATTTCGTTCAAAAATTAAGAATTTGCGTAAGGAAAAAGCTGCTATTGCATTAATAATATTAATAGTGATAATAGCAAACAGGTCCACTGCCAAATGCAGCTTTCACTTATGTTTTAATATCAGATGAACCTTTTGCTCTCGGAAAACATAATGAAGGAAGGCTTATCAACAAATGGCAAAAGCGAGAGAAAACATTCTGACCGGGAGGCAGCGTACATAGTAACTAAACCATAAGCGACAAAAAATTCGACAATACAGGCTGAAAGTACTTTGAAAACTAATAATAAAATCACTCGTCTGCCACTCGTAAGTGGCAGCATTAACTTGGGGCGGCGCTGAATAGGTGACTTCTTTAGATGATCAACTAAATTACCAAACTATAAGGGTCGCGGAAAAGATTTGTATCAATAAATCCCATTTTTTCCATAGTTTTCAAATATGCTATGGCAGACGATTTCAAGTGGAGTGTTGGTAGCGAAAGACGCCCTCCAATGTAGGGAAAAACACCCCTGAACTAAACCATGAGGACCGTATAAAAATTATATACATACAAAACTCCTCTTTTTGTCACTGCTTTAAAATATATCCTGGCAGACGATATTAAGTGTAGCTTTAATACTGGCAGACGTCTTAGAAGTTAAAAAATTTAGGTATAGTAAATCCCAGCGAGTGCGAGCGTGTGAGAGATAAGCGCGCGAGAGCACAACGAACAGAGATAGCTATAGATTTACGCACCGCTTGGAGTTACCAAACGAATTAAATTAGGGAAAATAATAAATTGTTTATTTCGCGATAAGATTGTCGGTATTTCTTGAATTCTTCTCAGACTGAGAAACAGAAAACTTGAAGAGAAAAGAATATAGATCTTTAGCTCGTTCTAAACTATCCTCTGACTCCAGTTCCGTTTGTCTCTATGCAACATTGATAGATTGATGATTAAAATCGACAAGTTTGTTTTGCTGAAACTTTTTCGGAAGTATGATTTCTTCAAGTGCTCCTAGTCCATCGCCAGTTGTAGATGTTGTTTTAATTCATGGATTATTTTTTTGCATCTTTCAAAAGATCTCCGGTAAACCTTTGAGCGATTTTCTGAACACATCCTCGGCAAGATTTGTGCTGTGTCAGCGAGAGAAGTACATCTTACTTTTGACAGATAGTTACCCCTTCCATGAAAGACGCAGAACATGATCGTCGGGATCAAAATAAGGAAAGATTACAATCCTACTCAATTTCTGTTTCCACTCAGAAGCAGCCTGCAAATTTCATAAAACCACTTCGCAATGATAGCTCAAAGCCTCTTTTATAGATTACTTATACCGTTCATAGTCAAAAAAGACCTGTTGTGCTTTACTTGGAAGGAAAGTTGTGTTTGCCACATATGAAGATAAGTGCTATAAATTTGTGACAAGGGAAGATGATGTGGTAAAAACTGAATTGTGCTGCAGTCACTAAGAGGCAGATTCTCGAATAATTTACCATCTTGGTAAACTACCAACAAGTAGCAAAGTCATTATTAGCGCTTCCGATATGGATATTGCTGTTATTGTTTTGGGAAATGTAAAATTGACGCTACCATCAAGGTAGATGGAAGTAGGTCTCTTTTCCAATAACACGCAGAAATTCATAAATCTTCGAGAGATGTTCGTGAATTTGGGTGTTGATGTGTGTAACGCGCAGGATAACGCGTTACCGGATTCCCACGCATTTACCGGATGTAGGTATGACTTGTGTATGGCCCTCATGGTTTAGTTCATCGCAATTTAGGCGAATGCCACCGAAAAACGTGTGAGATTCTACAATCCGTTTGATTGAAGTGGATGGAACTATGTGAATCAGAAGTTTAGAATCAAATGGTTTGAAAGATCTCAGTAGTCAGTATCCTATCGCTATCTGTTGGTTATGCTCTCGCGCGCTTATCTCTCACACGCTCGCACTCGCTGGGATTTACTATACCTAAATTTTTTAACTTCTAAGACGTCTGCCACTATTAAAGCTACACTTAATATCGTCTGCCAGGATATATATTTTGAAGTAGTGACAAAAAGAGGAATTTTTTATGTATAATTTTTATACGGTCCTCATGGTTTAGTGCAGGGGTGTTTTCCCCTACATTGGAGGGCGTCTTTCGCTACCAACGCTGCACTTGAAATCGTCTGCCATAGCATATTTGAAAGCTATGAAAAAAATGGGATTTCTTGATACAAATCTTTTCCGTGACCCTTATAGTTTGGTAATTTAGTTGATCACCTAAAGAACTCACCTATTCAGCGCCGCCCCAAGTTAATGCTGCCACTTACGACTGGCAGACGAGTGATTTTATTATTAGTTTTCAACGTACTTTCAGCCTGTATTGTCGAATTTTTTGTCGCTTATGGTTTAGTTACTATGTACGCTGCCTCCCGGTCTATTCTATTCTCGACTACCACGAGCTTGATCAATTGTAATAATCTTAAAACCTTAATATTGGTCATAGTTCTTTTAATTGCAATTTACTAACATTTTTTATTCAGAATTTCATTTTCTTTCAAACTATGTAGATGTATATACAGGGTTTTCCATAAATAACATGTTATTTTATTTGACATAGGCTTAAAACATTTAAGGCATATAGCTTTCAAGTTTCCGTGTATCTCACAGTCTTACCTATTGGTCATCCGTCGTATCTCACTAAGTACTAAGTCACCCTACAAAAATGCCATTGGGATCTAGTTGAATATCGAATTGGAATCGGTTATGTGCTTTGGTGCTGAGTAGACGTGCTCTTCCTGCGCTGTAAATTTAAATTCTCAATAGTAAAAGTGTGATAGTTATTATCATTAATCAAGATGCCTACAACAAGGAGTGGAGAAAGCGGCGGCATCAGTGATATGGACTTACTTGCACAAAAGGTGGTCGATAAACTTTTGGCATCCGATGTTTTAACAGAAAAGTTCAAATCTGCAATCTCTGTGTCCATAAAGGAAGAATTATCAACAGCCTTACAAGTTTACGAAGATAAAATTAACGCTCTTGAGCGTGAACTGAAAGAAAAACAAGCTGAAGTAGACAACATCCTAGACGCTCATGAGCAATATACGCGTGTTAACAGCATCCGTATTTTCGGTGTACCTGAAGAGCCTAACGAAAAGGTGTCCGAGGTGGTACGTAACATGTGTCAAGAGAAATTAAATTGTGTTATATCTATATCTGATATTGACATTTGTCATCGTTTACCGTCCGACGGGAAAACTCAAAAACCGATTATTGTAAAATTTGTACGTCGTGACATCAAGAACCAAATCTTTTACAACAAAAAGAAGTTAAAAGGTACGTCTATAGTTATCCGAGAAGATCTCACTCGTCATCGGATGTTGTTATTGAAAGAAGCAGTAAATATATTCGGCAGCAAAAGGGTTTGGACTAGCGATGGAAAAATTTGTGTCAAAACTGATACTGGTATCAAGAGATGCACAACTCGCCAACACCTCAACAACCTTGTCAGAAATAAGTGAAGATATGGTTATCGGACGCATGCAGCAATGTTTATGTACACTAAAGCGTAACCTAAGTTTGTAAATGTAAACATTTGATTTCTATCCTTATTGTATACTTCTTTGTGATTGTTTATTTTTTCCTTTCTTTACATTTTTATTACATCCTATACTTGATTCTATTTTAGTTAATGCGTTTTGCGCACATCAATGTTAGGTCTCTAATTCCTAAATTGCACATTGTTCAAAGCTTCTTGGAAAATGATGATTATGATGTCTTAGCGGTCAGTGAGACTTGGTTGAATGCGAAAATAAGCGATGACTATCTTTGTACTCCTGGCTACAATTTGGTTAGAAATGATCGAGCTCAGGAGAAGAGAGGAGGAGGGGTCTGTATCTATATTAAAAATTCATTTAATTACAGTGTATTAAAAACCAGCAGTAACACATCTCAGCAGGTGTGGTTGAATATTATTATGACTAAATTGTCTCTGGTTGTTGGGGTGGTATATAAATCGCCTGAAGTGAACGGTAAGATATTCTGTGATGAATTTGAGGAGACTTGTTCTGAGTTTTTACTCAAGGTTGACTTCTTCATTTGTTTAGGGGACCTAAATATTAATATTTTAGATACAGCGTCGCATAAAACACGTTATTATTTGAACATGTTAGAATGTGTAGGTTTGGTTCAAATTATTAATGAAGCAACTCGATCTGACACGGCACTCTTAGACCACATATTGGTATCCGACATTAATCGTATACGAGAATCTGGCATTGGTGGCACATTATTCGCTGATCATGAAACCATCTTCTGTGAAATCGAACACGATAAAACTGAACCATATAATTTCTACAAAACGGTACGTAATTTTAAAAATGTTAATATGGAGCTGTTTTTTGCAGACATTCAAAGAGTGGCATGGCAAAGGATATTCTACTTGAGGGACGTAGACTCAAAAATAAATTATCTTAATAATCATATACTAAATATAATAAACAAACACGCACCCTTAAAAATAGTTTCAGGAAAAACCAAACCCCAGGCTCCGTGGTTATCTGATAACACGAAATACTTAATGCGTCTAAGGGACAAAGCTTACTGTAAATTCAAGCAAACCAAATCTCCACAGCAGTGGGAATACTATAAAGCGCTTCGTAATCTCACCAACAAAACTGTAAAGTTGGAAAAAAAAGCGTTTGTTGAATTTAAACTTAGAGGAAATGACCCTAAAGTCTTGTGGAGAGAGCTTAAAAAATTAAAAGTTGTTGCCAATAAGAAGAAATTAATTCCTCCGCATCTTCAACGGGCTGATGAGATAAATGATTACTTTGTTGATAGTATTCCCATTGTTGCTGGCGATCAGTTTAATATTGACGACTATTGTGTTTCTTCATCTCAAATTGTGGCCAATTTTGAATTTTCCGTTATCGATGTAGGTACCTACGATTGCCAAGATTATCAATAGTATTAAAACGAAAAGTGCTGGTTGGGATGGACTAAACGTTGACATTATTAAACTATTTTGTCCTAACATTTTGCCGTATGTGGCTCATATAATTAATTATTGCTTACTTACTAACACATTTCTAACCCTTTGGAAGAAGGCAATAGTAATTCCTATCATCAAAGGAGCTAAAGCAGATAAATTCAGCGACTTACGCCCAATCAGTCTACTGCCCGTACTGTCAAAAGTTTTCGAAAAGATAGTGGACGGCCAACTACGTTGTTACTTGACCCAGAATAACATTCTCCCTGACAATCAATCAGGGTTTCGGCCTGGTTATAGCTGCACCACTGCACTACTAAATGTTACGGATGATTTACTGAAAGCTAAGGATGAGAACAAGATGTCCATATTGCTACTCTTGGATTTCAGTAGAGCATTCGATACAATTAATCACCAAACTGCAATTTCCATCTTACGTGCTACAGGTCTTTCTCCTAATGCTACCTCATTACTTCATAGCTACCTAACGGGCAGGTCACAGTGCGTTACTTTAATGGGTAAGTCATCTGGGTACAGGGAACTATCTAGGGGTGTGCCGCAAGGGTATATTCTTGGCCCCTTATTGTTCACTATATATACTTTGTTTTATACATCAGTTCCTAAGACGTGTCTAGTTCACATGTATGCAGACGACATGCAGTTGTACCACTCCTTTAAAAGTGAACATTTACACGAAGCGCTAAATCTGATTCAAAGTGACCTTAAGGCTATTGAAAGGGCTTCATTGGAGCACTCGCTGGTTCTCAATCCTCTAAAATCGGCAGTCATGTTGTTTGGTAACAAGCAGAAAGTCACCGACTTGAAACATTTGGTAAAATTCAGAATTGGCGACAAAGCTGTTGCACTAAAGGAGGAAGCAAAAAATTTAGGAATAATGATAGACAATTCGTTTAGATACAACAAATTACTCACTAGCTACATCCAGAGAGCATATGCAAATTTAAAATGTATCTTTCCCCATAGGCACTACTTGTCCCAAACTTTAAAAGCTCAACTCTGTAACGCGCTGGTACTAAGCCACTTTAATTACTGTTCGCAAGTCTACGGTCCGTGCATCACTCAGGATATGTCTGCAAGAATACAGCGAGTACAAAACTCCTGTATTAGACTAGTATTTGGTCTTAGGAAGTTTGATCGAGTATCTTCCAAATTAAAAGAATTACGCTGGTTCAGCATGAGGGATAGGCGACTGCTTACTGCGGCGTGTCTGTATGTATCATAAAATTATCTGGAACAAATCTCCTCCATATTTATACCGCAAAATATCTTTTAGAACCGATGTTCACAACTTAAATTTACGGTTTAGAGGTGGGATTACTCCACCCTCTCATCACACCGAAATGTACAAGAGATCTTTTAGTTATAATATTTTTAAAGTATATTCCTCTGTTCCAGATTTGATTAAGCCCCTTTCTCCGCAGTATTTCAAAATTAAATTGCGTCAAATATTAGCCCATGACTCTGTACGTACGTTGTAGATTGTCATTCATGTCTATCTTGTTTAACTTGTCTCTCGTCTCTTTGTCCGCTTTTCTTAGTATATTACTCAATCTCTTTTCATCTCACTCTCATTTAGTTACTCCTATGTGCATTTATTACTATTTCATATTTTCCTTTTTATTATATTACTCAGTTATAAGCATTACTTGATTATGTTAATTCTAATTGTATTCAGGGAGTCGGTGGAAGATCAGAACCTGCCTGTGCAGCAACTGAACCGATAACCCCTGTGGTTTCCATTTCTTTAATTTGGTGGAAATAAACACAT